ATAATACTGCACCCAAATGGTCCAGTATGAGAGGTCATCAGTACTTCTGTTTCCATCTCACACTCTCTCCACTACTATATCACCTTTTCTTTTCTTATTCAGAGGTACTTTCTATTTGTTTCTCTGCTTACTTATTTTTTATTTTATTTAAGTGTGTAGTTTCTGTCTCTGTTTACTGTGGTTTTACAGCATAAAAACTGATATAAGCCCAAGATCTGACCCATAGAAAATATTCAATAAGTATCTATTGGCTACGAACTCAACATGTAATTGTCATGTGTTCGCAAGTTTGAGAATTACTATTTTAAACTACCTCATCTTAAACAGAAGTTACTAATCAACAAAAATGCTTGTTGAGCACGTCAATTGTCATACTTTCACTGAAAGGTATAACTGAGTAGAAAAAGCTTATTCATTTTAATGGATTAAATTGCCATATTTTTCTGCACAATATAAATTTTTCATATAAGAAACCAAGTTCTTCTGACCTCGGGGCAGTAACTGAAGCGTCAGCATTTACCTGGAGGCTCAGAACTCCCAAGAGGTGGCAGCCTGTGTACCCCTGGCTAGAGTCTGGGAGTCAGAGATGCTACGGAAGTGGAGTGAGCAGAGGGGATGTCCAGCTTGATTTCTAGTTGGGGTGAAGCTGGTCAATGAGTGGGAAGAAAGGGTGGGTAGGAATGCAAGGAAGGGGGTCTGAAGACAAGCAAATCATGCATTTCAAGGAGCATGCCAAATGCAAGCCCAGCAACTGAGGCCAAAGCCCAGGAGTAGAGAACAGGGAAGACACAAGGTCAGGTCAGTGGATTGTGGAAGCCAAGTCTAGGAAGATCCCTTGAATTAGCGGTCTGGAATGGGGCAGGAGAGGGGCCTCTTTGATAGAAGGGGCCTGTCACATGTCACTGCAATTGATAAAAGTGAGATTTATTCTATGTTGAGTAAGTAGTCTCTTAAAGACCCGTCTTGAAAATGCAATTTTTTAAAAAACAGAAAATACTACATCTGGCACTTAAAAGTTACAGAAAAGTATAATCAGCATCTAGATTACTTATGTGGCCCTTATGTCATAGACATAAAATACACCAAATGATTTTTCCACCAGACAACAGGACCTAAATTAATAATTTATAATTTTATAATTAGGCCCAAGAAAAGTAGGTCCTGGGCAGTGAGGGTAAATGGCCTACTCTTCACCATGAACTACTGAAAAGTGCTGGAACCAAGACCCTGAGAGAGAAAACAACTGCTGGGGAGAAAGTGTGCGTGTGTGCGTGTGTGCGTGTGTGTGTGTGTGTAATTATTCTTTTGACTGCTAGCCCTAGAGTTGTTTTTGGAAGGTAAATGTCTTATGTAGCAAAATCCCTTGGTGAATGCTGAGAATGGAATGAGTGGGGTGCAGAGACCTGAGGAGTTCTGCATAATAAACAATGGGGAACTTGGCTGTGCACCAGGGAGCAAGCAGGAAAGAGCTGACATGTGCTGTGCCAGAAGGCTGAGGACTGAGTTTGAGAAAGGCACGACTGAGAAGTGCCCTGCCGCTGAAGGACATGCAGGGAACAGAGCTATCGAAAGACCAAGTTCAAAGACCTTAGCCTTTAGAATAGTCTGCCATCAGGTATCCTTTGTGGCTATCTATCCCCATATCCTTTGTGGGGTTAGCTTTGGAAAAATTGGGTAAAGGGGACTCCGTTTCACATGAGATTGATTTTGAAAGGAAAATAAAGAGGGATTGAAAATCAAGTGGGGTAGGACTCAGCCCCAGAAGGGACCGCAAGAGGGAACAACTCTGGGCTGGGGGTGGGAGCACTCAATTTCAAGTTCCCTGAAGCTGGAGGATCTCGTGCTTGGACAATGTGTATTTAATTTGCAAGGTCATGGACTGCTCAGTTACAGTCTAGGTTGTTTTTTCATATGATTGTGATATTAATCAAGAACATTATATTAGAAGTCAGCTCTGCATCTCTTCTCCTTTTCCACATCTTCTCGGGACCTCTTTGGGAAGCAGTACTTAAGGTGGGCTGCTTCTCATCACCCTGAAATCATTCTTCTCTGCTTTCTACAACATGAGGGGCCAAGAAATTAGGGTACACAAATATGGGTATTTAAAAGACACACTGATGGTAAATACTTTTTCTCTGAAATCTTGCTGTACATCATCAAATTTTGCCAAAGTAATTTTGAAACATTATGTTTAATTCCTCTACAATCTTCCACAGGACATTTTATTAAAGTGTATAAATCTGTATGTGGGTTCTGTGATCAGCTCTGATTGAAGTCTGAAAAAATAAGCCCTCTATTTTTTCACAATAATTACTAACTTAAGCAAAGGGTCCTACACAGAGAACACACACAGCAAATTTTTAGAAATAACAATTAACATAAGAAATTCATATGAAAATTAGATGAGACAATGTGTGTGTGTGTCTATCTATAGAGAGAGAGAAAGAGAAAATGAGGGTCTCTTTTTATTATCTGTTCAAATAGACAATAGTGAGATTGAAGAGCAAGGAGAGAATTCACTTAATATTGAACAAAACAGTAACACTGTGACTAGAATAAATTAATTTAGAAAATAAAATATTTATGAATTAAAATTGTGGGAATTAATGGCATTAGTGATATCATCTATTGCATCCAACTAGTGCTGGATACAAGAATTCTTTGTTGGCTGAAGTGTAAAGCCTGTGAAAGAAAAAAAATTGTACATATACATATATATATATATTGCCTTTCTTTTCCTCAGTGAAGATTTAAGCAACAATTGCCCCAAATATATCTTTAAATACCTCTCAGCTTGATTAAATAAAACATCCCTTACAAAGTTGTCTTTATGACAATTAGATGAACTAAGAGCAATTGTCCCTGTAATTATTAACAAAACTAACCATGTAAGTACATGGTTCTAGGAAATAAGAAATAATAAGATCCACTTATTCCTACCAATAAAACCAGTTAATTCAACCTCAGGACAAAGTTATGAGATCCTCAAAAGCTCTGAGATGGCAACCTCAGTGTCCCCTGAGCAGGCTTTCCACCTTTCACAGCGACCATCTTAAAAGTGACAAAAGGACCAGTACCTCAGGGGAGCAGGGGTGATTCCTGACTGTTTGCCCACTGGTAGCAGCAGAGGTTCCCTAAGGTGACCACTCTCCTGTCCCATGTTTGACATCACTGCTTAACCTGTCTACCCTCACTCACTCCTGAATGGAGAAGCTGAATTCCTTCATTCATACTTCCTCTGTTAATCATTGTATCTGATAAATAGGAAATAAAATGAGTGAAGGAAAGGCAGGAGCCTTGGAATAGATGGATAAAAGAAACTTTGTGCCAGACACCATTGTTCAAATAGTAACTCATTTAATCCCCACTACTTCCCTGTAAGGTTAATTTCTAGTACTGTCCCTGCTTTTGCAGTTGAGGAAACAGAAGCACAAAGAGCCTAATATGTCTTCTCAAGGTTTCAAAAGTATAAAGTAGTAGAATTGGGTTTTAAACAAAACCCTGGGAATCTGGCTCCAAAGTCATATCTTAACCGTTTTGCTGAGGAAATGACAGTACAAAGGTATGCTCACCACACACAGCACAGTCAATTCAAGGCAGGATTTGTAGTAACCAGGCACAGGGAACAGGACTTCCCATTACTGACGTTTTCAGGATTCTGTAGACACTATCATAGTAGAACTACATATTTTGATGTTGGTTGACTGTCCCTTGTGTGGGATCCCTGGAAGGTTAGCTTGAAGTTTGCCTCCATTTTGTGTCCCCCATCTTGAAACTATGTGCCTCCATTTTGTGTCTGCCATCTTGAATAGATGTGTCCCCTACATGACCCCTGACTCCATTTTGTGTCTTCCATTTTGAAGAACTATATAACCTCCATTTTGTTTTGTGTCCCCCATTTTGAGTTTCCCACTCAAGCCACGCCCATTCCCGCAGAAACCTTGCCCAGCAACCCTCCTCAGCCAATCAGCTAAGGTCACAATAGACCCCTCCCACCCCCCCTTGGAAACCCCATAACTGTTCCAAAAGTATAAAAGCAAAAAGGGAACTTTGTTCAGGGTCTCAGACTGAGTCCTGTGTTTTCACAGGCCGCTGGGACCCTAGTTCAAACTAGCAAAAAAGACCGGTTTTGCTCTTACATCTTGCAACTAAGGCTGGTGACTGTGGCTCCACACGGGGAACTCAAGGAAACGGGGCACAACACCTTGAACCTAGTTTGTTAAGATGAGATGGGCTAACCATAGTCCTTGCTTAAAAGTAATTATGCCCCAGCTCTATACGTCAACACAGAAAATCCACTGGAAGGAGAGAAGTCAACTCACAGAAAAAGACATCTTTGATGAGTCTTGCAGCAGGTGAAATTTCAATGAAGAACTAGTAACTGGAATATTCTTTGAAGACTGTTATAAACATTCGGGAATTAACACCCAAAGTGATGTCAAATGCCACTAAGTAGGAGACCAGTGGTTCAAGGGTTTTGAAGGACTGCAGGCATCCAAAAACCTTAAAGCTCTCTTTAGTTTATCTTCACCTCTACTTTTATGTTCTACATGTTGAATTTCTGCACAGATTTTTTTTTTTGAAGAAATGGTTTTACTGATTAAAACTTTCCTTTTTTTTTTTTTTGTAATCACCCTTAAATAGTATTGGATGTTTTGTTTATTTATGTTATTCATGTTAAGTATTGGAAAATAAAGTGAAATATAACACAGCCCCTTCCATCAATGGCAGTTTTAGGGGTACTGATCGAGTCTGAGCGCCGACCTGAATTTACAATGAATTATTGTCCTTTGTACTCTTTTTAAGGCTGTGCAGTCATAGTCACTAGGTTCAGACTTTCAGGGATACAAATGTCGAACTTCCTGCTCCTGACTGGCAAAGGAATCACAATGGGAGATACAAGGAGAAAGACGTATAGTCACTCAAAAGCAGTGCCAATAAAAGAAGCAGGGAACTGTTCCTTTCCTCTTTAAACTTGTAGAAATGTTTTCATTTCTTACCTCTAGAACTTTCAATCTTTCTAACAGCAGTTTGGTTTTTTCTTTCCCCTCATCTGCACTGCTGCCTTCACTCCTCGAATCCTCGTCGACCGTCACGTGAAGGTCTTCCAAAGCTTCCTTGTGTTTTCTCTCTTCCTCTGACAGTTTTTCCTGAAACAAGAGGAATTATTGTTTTCAATAATCTCTGCTGAAAAAAAGCAAGAGTGGAAGGCCGAGAAGGGTGGAGTCTCTCCATTGTTTCTGCCCGCTTGCTGGGGCTAAGGCAGAGGAGATTTTGCTACACAGATTCTGAGTGGTGCTTAGATTAGGGAAGAGAGTAGACATTTTTTAATGAACCCTGGCAGGACAAAGCTATTGGGTCACCACCTCTGAATGTCCTGGTCCTCTGCCCTGTTGGAAAAGTGACTGACCCAAGGAAGCCTTAGGTGTAGTCCTGCAGTTAATTCATTTTTATCTGTGCTGTGGAATTCAGCTGTGCTCTAACCTAGGGAAATGCAATCAACCTTGACACCCTGCTTTGTGAACAGATCAGTCCCTCAAAATAGGATCATGGAAGTCACTGGGTATGTAAGCATTTAATTAAGGGAAAATAAAATACCATAAAATATTGAAACGACAATGATTTCAGAATTCTAAGCTGAAACCAATTAGTTCTTTTGGCTCAATGACACAGTCCCTTTTCTAACACTCCAGGATTTGTAGGATAGCCTTGAGGCAGACGTAAAGTGTTGTTATCTTGTCTTTCTTCTTGGCATAAGCTTCTCACTCACCCTTATCTCTGGCAGCTTCTAGGAAGTTGAGGGGTGTTAATTTGAGCCTCATGATTGGCTCTTGTTTTCAAGAGAAAAAGAAATGTCAAGAGAATATCACATGGAAAAACTCTCATCCATATTGTATATATATAAAAATGCTTATGCTATATAGACCAGGTGACATCACTCTATCACACTATTCAATTCTAAATGCAACACTTGAGAAATTGTAGTCTTAATATAGCTGGTTGGCAACTCTGGGCTACTTGGATTCTCAACAGTGAGAGACTTCTTTAAAGTTAGCACCAAACTGAGAATATTTGCAAATACAGAAGCACAAAAGATATGCTTTTTTATCTTTGCATACTTACAAAGTCTACAGTGAAGAATAGTGTAAGTGGGGGAAAAAAAGCAGATTTTTAAACTGTATTCAGAAAGGTGCTTTGGATGTTCCAAAAATACGATTTAACTTGTTGAAAAAAATGTATGTAAAAATGTGTCTTAATGAATATATACATATGTATAAGTATACATGTATATGTATAAATACCTAGACTTATATCTAGAGACCACATAGTAACTTGACCCATGTTAATCTGTTTTATACAGATTTCAACATATAATTTCAACATATAAATTCTCCTTCTCTATATAAAGCACAATTGATAAAGAAGGTGATAGCTCTTCATGAAATCACACCTGAGTCTGAGCACATGCAACGTGCAGGTAGTTTACTTCCATAGTGGGGACGCACTCAGCTCAGATAAATGCTGGGTAAGTTTAAAGTACAGATCCTCAGGCCAGGACAAAAATCTGGGTTGTGATAGTAAGGCTTTGATTCTTCAAGGTTTGGTCACTTGTCAGACTTTCATTTTCATGAAAAGAAGCCTGAAGTCTAGAGTTACCAACTCAGCTTTGAAATGAAGAGGCCCTTCTACTTCTCGTCTAAGACTGAGCTGCCTGCCACAAAACACTATTCTGGGGCTATAAGGCAAGTTGTCTTTAAAAATACATCTATTTCTCTGCACAAATTATGGTTTTTTCATTGCTCTGTTAGCCTGCTGCACTTGTATTCTCTCCCTCTCTGTATTTATACACACACACGTCTTGCAATAATAACAACTGCACACACATATAATCACCATAACTTCTACAGTTACATTAAAAAATGGAAAGCCGATGGTGTGGTCAATGGACAAGCCAAAAGACTTTGGAATGGCACAGTCAGATTCCAAGTCTATCATTTACCAGCTCGGCAAATGATCTTGGACAAACTACTTCATTTCAGTAACATAGGGTTTGTCTCCTAAATGCCTAAATGAAGTAATGCCAGCACATGTGACATACACAAATACCAGTCAGCTCTCCTTATTCACGGTGGTTATGCTCTATATGGTTGTCATGAACACCAAATTTGTGAATACTGTTCCAAAGGGAAATACTGGGTTGGAGTCCTGTAGGCAACATTTTCATCACCATTCAATATAAAACCTTGTTTTATGAGTGTTTCTATTTAAAGACACCTAATTTAATGCATATTGTTGATTCACTTACTCTGAGTTAACAGCCAACAGCACTGCAATAGCTCAGGCCTGAACGAAGCTTACCTAGCATCTATCTTCTCCATAAGGCACATCATAGCCTCCTTGCCCCTAGGGACACTAGGCAGGCCTCAGCACTGTGCTGGGGGCCATTTTAAACAGTGAAATCACAAACAAAAAGCGTAAGATATGAAAAACTTGGGATGAAATGGAGCATGAAAAGGATGCCTGTTTACAGTGTGAGAGCTGGAAGAGTATTATCTTGTCAGGCCTTAGCTGGGGACACGGGTACCAGGTGCCTCCAAGTTTCCCCTACTCCACGGATGTCTGTGACTGACCATGGAAGCACTCCAAGTGCTGATTCTGGGGCTACAAATAAATTTTAGGGTGCAGGTGAATTCACAAATACAAAATGCACAAATAATGATGCTCAACTGCACACACATACACATTTAAACTGTCCAGATATAGTGCCTAAATATTATCATATGAAACAACTGAAAACAACTGGAGATTCTATAGATTATATATCAGTATTCAGATTACATAAAATGCAAGGGTAATTTTACATAATTTAAAGAAAGGGTGATCATTGAGCTCTGGGAGATGTGATTTCATGGAAATGGGACATGATGTATGCTTTGGCGGAGTAATACAACTTGAACAGTGAGAGAGCACAGGGTGGGGTTGGGGGTTAAAGAGAAAACTGAAATGAAGACCCCTGTCAGGAGTAAGTGTTGCCCTTATTGGTTTGTGAGGAATCAAGTTTGATTACAATGCACAAAAAATTTTTGAGAGAGTAGTTCGGTACAGGATTGGAGTGTAAAAGAAAGAAAAGATTCTTGGAAATGAGACAGAAAAAGTTCAGACAATTCATTTGTTACAGAGCACCTCCAAATGTTTATTGACTAGCAGCTTTTAGTCATTTGCCATTCTAGGTGCTAGAAATATGGCAAACCAGACAGAGTTCCTATATTCTATGAACTTATATTCTAACAGTGGGAAACATGAAACATTCCAAGTCAAGTCAGTAAGTTATTTAATTGTAGCTACTGGTAAATACCATGAAGAAAACAAAACCTCGTAACATGATGGACAGTGGTATGTTTAGGGAAAATATTAGAGGTAGAGACAATCCATGTAAGGCTGTCTAAGGAAGTGGCCTTTTGAGCTGAGACCAAATGATGAGAAGGAAGCAGTCATGCAATGGCCTGAGATAAAGGTTCTTAATAGAATTCCTAATAGAAGGAACAGCAAAGCAAATGCCTGGGGGCAAGGCTCAGCTTGCCTCTCTGATCAGCTGCGGGGAGTCTGTGTGACGGAAGGGAACGCAATGCCCATAAGCCTAAGAAAGGAAATGTGATCAGAAAGAGAGGTAGAACATGGAGGGTCTTGCAAGGCACAGAAAAGGGTCTGGGTTTTATTGTAACCACACTAAAGAAGAACTGGAAGTCAAGTAGGGGAGTGATAGGTTCTGATTTACATTTTAGAAACATCTCTCTGACTGCGGTAGCAGAGGAGGGCTGTGGAAGGAAGAAGACAGGAGACTAGCTGGGAGGCCTTTATATAGAAAGGAAAAAAAATTAGTAATACTTTGAAGGTTTTGGATAAAAACTTACCAAAAGCAGTTCCCATACTGGATGGTAGGTCAGAAGCCTTGAATTAAAAGCCCAGTTTTTACACTTTTGCACCTTGCTGGGCAAATCATTTGACCATTTCAGTTCTCAGTCCTCCCCTCTCCCTCCAGTTACAAAAATGAAAGAGTTGGATTAAATGTCCCCTCCAATGCTAATGTTCTAAGCACTTAACTGATACTCAAGACACTATTTCCAAGAAGGAAATGTTGTCAATATGATCAATGGTGACAGAAATGACAAGAGAACATAAAAAATATGTCTACATTTTATAAGAAGGTTGTTAGTGGAGACTTGAAAGCTGTTTGACTAAAGTGTCATGATGGTACCCAAATTGTCAGTGGTTAAGCAAAAGTGAAAAGAGAAAATAGAGGCAATTTCCTCAGATGCGCATTTGAAAGTATGACAGGGAAGGGAATATAAAGACCTGTAGTCGAGGGGCGTTGCAGAGACAAGCAGAAATCTTTTTTCAAGATGCAGACAACTGAGTTGTTTGAAGAACTAAAGAGAGAGGAGGGGGCACTGGACACGGCAGCGAAGGTGAGGACATATGAAGAGATGTCCAAAGCAGACAAGGCAGAGGAAGAAGGGCACTGATGGAAAAGCCAAGGGTTTTCAAATGTGGTTCCCTGCAAATATCGCTTCACAGCTGAATCTCCCAGTTAGTATTTCTAAGTCACTAGTTAGTGTCTACTTGGTTCTTAAACAAGGATGTGAGTGCAAGTAGGTCATCTGCGAAAGGAAGGAAATGTCAGTAGGTGAGTGACTCAGGGAGGAGAAGGCAGCCATCAAAGGGCAAATTACTATGCAGCTGTAGCTAAAGTCATGGGAAACTCAGGAAAATGGTGCAAAGCACAGGTCTCAGAGTCACCCTACCCCACAGGTGAGAACTCGGAGTGTTTATGCACCAACCCCACAAGCATCCATGGTTGAAGGCAGCTGATGGGGTGTCAGTGCCTGGCACTGCTAGCCTACCCCAGGAAGTAAGGTTTTACACACCTGTCACATAAAAGTGTCCTCCCACACAGATGTTGATCACTGGAAGTAACAGGAGCAGGGGTATGGACAGACCCCTGCCATTGTCTGCTACAGGTAAAGAGGAGGCTTGAGGCTGCTCTGATGTAACACTGCCTAGGGAAGAAAGCCACATCTGTAGGCCACTCAGACTAGTCACTGTCCTAAAGGCGTGTCTCCTTGTGTTCTACCCCCTCAGATGACCAGGA